TAGACATATAATAATCATTTTTATTTTTACAACAATAAAAAAAAACAAAACCCCCCCCCCCCCCCCCCCCCCCCATGTGACTCCGACTAACATCATATGCAGCAAAGGAAAGTAAACCATATCACACTTTAACAGTGATATGATTAGCTCATGTTTATTAAGTCAGTGTTTAGATCGAATTGTGCAAAAGACCATATATATGCTTATGTTTTTCTTGTGTTGTAAAAGTATAAACATGTGCAATAAAGATACTTTAAAACACTAGATAACTTAGTACTGCCCTTCGAATAATTTTTCTCATATGTATATTTAAAAGTAATGTCCAATATTTTAATCGTCATTGAATCGTAGATACAATGAATCAGGTTTATTTTTGACCAACTTCAGTACATTATGTAGATCATTCATTTGTATTTCGACTGTATTCATAAAATCTTCGATATAAGATAACCGTTCTCCACTGAATTCTTCCAAATAATATAAATATCATTGACATCACTCGTATGAACCACTATTTGATATAATGTGAGCATATTTTTCTGTTAAACATTATTTTTTCTTCTTGAGCTTCTATCTTGGCTGAGTTTCATTGGGCTACATCGAACTAATTAGTTCCACTAACCATACTTTTATAATTCAGAGTATATACTGCTTGGCTTTCAATAGTGTAACGATTCTTGAATTTATTATCCAAAAGAATCCCTCTCTTCCCTCTCGTTCACTCCTTATACAGCGAGCGTGAAACGAGGGAGGGAGAGAAAGTATACTATAGAGAGAAAGGAAAAAGAACAATCATTAAATATCAACAAGAACAGAAGAAGCATAAGATAAACTCATTAGTGATATATCCTTATACAGCACATAAGGTTATATTGAACATCATGATGTGATAGACAAACGATATGGTAATTAGCAATAGATGAACATGTAGAAAGAAAGGGGAGCATATGAGGTAACAACGAATGATATAATAAGTTAGAACAGCAAATAGAAAAAATCAGTCTAAACAACAGTGACAGTATATAATGATGCATAACACGCTCAACCGGAGTTATCACAAATAGTTGAACTGGTAGATGACAGATCAGATACAAGTAGCTTTTCATTGTTGTTACTAAACGAAAATACAGCTAAAGAGAATATCTACAAGATGAACAAAAACGATACAATGCAAGAGTAGCGTTGTTCATGACACCATTCATCCGATAAATCCATGACCTATTACTTCTGTAACAATAAGTAAGATTTGTCTCTACTAGAAAAGAGATTTCTCATCGAGAATTAACGCAGTGGTTGCTTGTCAAACTATCAACGTTTAGTATTTTAATAATGAGATATGTTTTATCATTGAGCTAACTAAGAGACCATAAATAAACAGGTGAATTGTTTACCCATAGTAAATAAAGTATAGTTGATGTTGGATGGAATATTAAGTTCACTGTGAAGTGCAGCATCAATCAAGTTCGCAGGCGTATCGTACGATAATTTGTATCGACGTGTTTTTTGTGCTAAGCGAATTGTTTAATTAGTTTCACAAGAAATATCTCATATAATGGTCAATTTTATTTTAATCTGAACTTAAAAGAAAACAAAACACTTAATTTAAAATTGAAACCGAGGAAAAGGCTTGTAGGTCTATCAAATTAGTATTATGTTATATACAATATATACTATCTACTTTTGTAGGATATATAATGTCACTTACACTGTTGAATGAGAACATATTGTTTGAATAAGGTTAAGGGTGAAACGCTGAGAGTGCTATGATTATAGTGAACGTGTTTCATGACTTCGTTTGTTGGATTATGAGATATTCCTCACATAATGTTCTGAGAGATGGTTGAATTTTTTTAGACCCGCTAAATACTTGAAGTTTGGGGAAAGGAAGCGTGGTTTTTAAAAATTCAGTGTGGAATAAAAAAGACTGCGAACTCAAATATCTTCATTAATGAATGACTCGATTCATAGAAAAAATACTAAGCGACAAAAAACAACTACTACCATGTTTCTAGATGGGATTGAGAAAATTCTCTCTTGTGAATGCCATAAATCTACCTTCTTTTTGATTTGTTCCTTTTTGAGAATATCAACTCATTTATGTAAAACTTTTACTTTGTTCGCTAGTAAATTTGTTTTAAAATTTATCATTAAACATTTCTATGAGAAGCAAGCTATTGAACCCAGTCAACGAAAACTATCCATATTAAGATTGCAGAAATAGCTTGAAATATTGTTTTGAACTTGTTCTTTACATGCATCGTCTATCATGTAAGCACATGTAGAGATATACATAGAACGCAATATATATGAAGAATAAGAAATGCATCAAAATGAAACAACGCGAAACGGTTCTATTTTCCTCGAGTATGACTGCAACTAGCATAATGAGTGATTGTAACGATTAAACTCATCAGAGACTCTGAACAACGATGAAAATTTTGAGAGAGAGTGAGATTTTATGATGATCAATTCAGTGGTAAAATTAGGACGTGAAGAGAAATATTTCGAAGATTGGGCATTGATGAAAGATTATACAAAAGAGTTTCTGTATGTGTTATCCAAGCAGAGATTGTTTAAGAATGAACTGGACGCATCTTATTAGTTATTCTATCAATACCCGATCAAACATATATTTTTAGTACTATTAATGATAACTATCGAGTAACAACAAGAAGAACAATTGTGTTATCAGTTCCATCTTCATGGTTTATCTTCTCCTTACTTCTTGCTCTTTTGTGCCTATTTTTCATTTACTACAATTTGTCAATTGAATTCATTTAATACTTTCGTCTTTCACGTTATATAGATCATGATCCTCTCTCCATTAATTCTTTTATTCTTCTATGGATATAATATTACTTCTTTCTTGACGCGAGATCGTCTTTTTTCGTTGGTGTGCTATTTTCTTTAATTGAATGTCGTCATGTTTCCGTTGTATTTGTCTTCTTGCATTGAACCTAGTATATGACTGATGATATGTCTATGCGTGTTCTCTCTTCTCTATGATCACTCTTATGTAGTCTAGATGTTGTGCCTGTTTTATTGAATAAAGCTAAACTAGGTTCGTTCAATGAACTGTCTTATAATAGTGAAATGTTTCATTACTAAATTGTTATGAAAGTGAATATCGGTTACATTGAATGACGATTTGATACGAAGAAAATAAATATTTTTATTAATGTCTTGATCTACTTGTTATTCATGTATTTATGTTACATCATATTAGGGAACTTAACATATGTGATGTCATTGTAAGGATGATCAGGAAAATAATTACAATTTACCTTTTCACCCAGTTTTCATAAAAATTAAACTGTATCATCAACATGATTTTCTATTAGAAAATTACCAAAAATATTTAATAAATAGACATAACTTGATTACAACACAACCGAATATGTAAAAAAATTTCTTGTATATGAATGAAAAATGAAATGATCTGTACAGTTATTTGTTTATATTTTTTACGAAAAATAATCATCATAAGTATGTAAAAAGTATCGATCATCAATATTATCTTCATTGGAAATCGATTTTTTCATATGTAATACATCAACTTTCTTGAGCAGTTGAATAATTTGACTATTAGAAAAAATAAAGAAATACTTCATCTTCATGTAATGTTCAAAATAAAATAAAATAAAAATATTTACTTGACATTTTCGTCAGCAAATTCAGTTTGATCATGAGAAAGAATTTCGTGTTTAATTCTTTCTTCTAAAATATCAAGTTCACCAGATAATGTTTCATTTTGTTTATTTGTCTTTATTACATCCATCTAAACAAAATATCAATTAATATTAAAAAAAAGCTGATCAATATAAAAAAGTAATATACTTCTGCGTCGCGAATAGCTTGTTGAAGTTGTGTACAAACAGATATCGGAACAAAGTTTTCAGTTAATTCTTGTTTTTTCTTTGTCATTCGATCGAATAAATCAAATATATTTTGTCTCATGTCATCAATTTGTTCTGTTTGTGTTTTAATTTTTAATTCTGTAGATGCAACTGGAACTTCGATTATTGGAGCTAAAAATTTTTCGATCGTATCTTTATCGAAGAACATGAAACTTAATTCAAACCTGCTGCTTCAGTTCTCATTTTGATTTGTTCTTGTTTTAGTCGTTTGAGTTCTTCATTCAATGTTCGATTTCGTTTTAATGCTTGTCTTGTTTGTTCTTCGATTTTATCTATATCAAATAATTCTGAATCAGCTGTTGAGAAATTTGGTTGAGTTTGACGCAATCGTTTTAGTTGCTCAGCAACATGAGTGCCATATTCAGGTTGACTAGTTAATAAATGATCAAGATATAATTCATATTCGTCCTAAATCAATTGTTTCATTATCAATTAGAAAGTTCAACGAAAAGAATACTAAAATCTGACTTTGATACGTTCAAGAATCGAACCAAAGGCGACTGAACCTTCGATCAATTGACTCATTGCTTCACCATACGCTTGTAGACGAGTTAAACTAATTGTTTGACCTTTATTTTGACTTTCGATCGTCGCTAATTTCTATATTAAAAATTAATTAAAACAAAATTTATTTTTATGAAAAAGAATTTACTAATATAAGATTTTGTTCAACAAAAGCAACAAAATCTTCACTATATCCCAAACCATGTAAATTGACATCATTCTTTTGTAAAACCAAATCATTGAATGTTCGCATTTTACGCACTCGTTGTTCTTCAGATAAATCTATTGAAAATGTTGGTACTTGAATACGTTCATTTGTGATCGGTGGTAATTGTTCACTGGTTATTGATGGTGATAATTTTTCATCAAACTAATTTAATCAAAGATTTTCAATTAATCATTTGAGTCTAATATGCTAATCGGAGAAAAACAAAATTTACTTTCGCTGGTTTTGCTGTTTTTTTTATCGGAATTTCTGGTAAAGTCATATAAGTAAAATCTACTAAACCATTTGTCATTTGTTCAACATTTGATGAATATGTTTGAAAACGATGAGCTGGTCGTAAAGTTGGACGAGGCTTTTGAGAAGATGACCAACATGATTTCTTTTCTCCATTGGTTGTTGGTTGTGGACGATAAAGATTATTTTCATTTAAATGTCCTGATGTTAAATCACGGATGCTTTGAAGTTGTTCACGATTAATTGAATTACAGATCTCTTTTATTTGGGAAGACATATTGATCAATATTAAAATAATTCAAGGTAAATATATAGATAAGTTAGCAATGCCATATTCATCAACCAAATCTTAGAGGTCATTGACAACAAACATTTACAAGATTTTTATTTTAAATATAAGAGATTTATATTATATATAGAAATCAATTTCTATATATTCTTCATGATATTTTTTTAAAATTATTTTGCTAAATAAGATGTCGCTAAAGTTTGGTGCGTGACTGAATAGATTTTCTTCTAACACTACTAATTCAATAATGGCATGAAATATTATCTGGAAATCATAAAAACGGATAATTTTTACCATTCTTTGGTCTCTATTTGAAATAATATTGAAACAAGATATTGTCAAGAATTAATTAATATATCCTTTTCTTTTCATATCCTATGTTATGATTCTTTTGTTAAATACTTCATCTTGAAACTATGATTGTTTTTTTCTTCTGTTAATGATTGGAGAATATTAATATTTCTATTTATCGATTAGATTCATAGAAGACTTTTTTAAATAAAATTGTTTTATTTGACATTCTCTATTTCACTTATAGTCATCTGAATGTTAAGTGAATGTCTTTAGACGTGCACTTTAAAATTGGACTACGGCAATTTTTATTTATCAGCAAATACTTGAGGAAAAAAAAGAAAGAATACAACATCATCGACTACCAACAGCAGTTGTTCAACATGCTTTTTTTTTTACCGCTATACATCTAATTGTAATGATGTGATGGTTGATGAGAGAGAGAATAGAGGACGACGGATGATTGTCGTCCGGGTAACTCATTCCTTTTCTTGTTGCACGGAAAAAAATGAGAGCAGAAGGAAAGGAATAAAGAAAGGTGGTTGCGGTGTTGTGTGTCACTATACTAAGAATCACGTCTGTGGCAAAAAGAACGAAGCAAGAATCGTGCTCTTCTTCTTTTCTTGTTCTCATTGTTGACATTATTATAAAAAAAAACTATGTGGGACTCAGCAAATACAACAACTACAAATACGGTTGGCCATAATTCTCAATTATCATTTTATGAATATCCGCCACATAAACCGTATATTAATTCAATTTATCAACCATTAAGACCATCACATACATTGTCAAGAACGGTTACTTTACCCGAATCCAATCGAGATCAATTATTAACAGCATTACAATCTTTGTCATTGAGAATAAAAACGCTTGAAAATGAACGAGAAGTAAGTAAGAAAACAAAGCTTTTTTCTTCGAGTATAATGACCAAAGATTACCAGGGGTTATTCATTTACGTAAGGGATAAAAATCCGCAAACTGTTGAATCATATAAGTAGAATCAAATTACTCACTTCAACAATACATCACAATTCATTTTTATAGAACAATGAAATATTGAAATCTTACTTACATAAGATACCAGCATAATCATCTGAAATTTCATCGTATAATAAACATTATTTGTTCATTGTTATTTTAGAGAGCTGAATTAAACTTGCGTGAACTAACAGATAATATACATTGTCCTCGACATTCTCGCGGTGATTCTCAACGTACTTATGATAAACAACTTAAAGAAGCTGAACAAAATTTTCATCGTCTTCGAAATCAACACAATGAAGTCCTTGACATGATGAATGAATGTCGACCTAGAAAAAATCGTTCAAAACGTAAAAAGAAACAATCATCTCCTGATAATCATAGCTTTGATACTGCAACAACAGGAACAACATCAACAAATTCTGAAGGACGACATTTTCATTTGAATATGAATACAGTACCATTTATTCTTGGTGGATCAATAGCACCAAGTCATAATGTTAAATCAAATGTACAAAATGTAATATAAAGTTCATTAAATATTTGTAAAAAAGAAAAATATCTTCTTTTGTTTTTCTTTTCATCTAGGTGATTGCTCTTTTAAAAAATCATAATCATCAATTATGTTTATCATCGAAAGAATATTCTGAACTTCTTCATCCTCATCATAAAAGTGATTTGTCACCACATTCATATCTTTATCTTGATCATTATAATAAATCATCATCAATACGTCCATCATCAGCTTCACCAGTTCGTTCAATTCATCGTCCCATAACAACAACAACAACAAGACGATCATATTCAGCTTCTCGTCGACCACAAACTGCAACGATTTCTGATAAACAATGTTATTCACGTATGAAACATCTTCGTCAAGAATTTGCTACACTTGCACGTGAACATAAACGATTAAATAAAACTCGAACAAATGCAAGAGAATTAGAAATAATAAGTCGACGAATGGAAATTATTCTTGATGAATTAGAACGTTTACAAAGACAATTAAAAATTTCATTAAAAAAATCATCAACAAAAGATCAAGGAAAACTTGACAAAAATGACACACCATTAGAAACATTGAGAAAAACAAGACTACTTCAAATTCTTCTTGGTGATCAAACAAATAAACAACAATACCGAGGACGTTCTCGTCGAACAAGACAAAATTCAAATGACTAAATTAAACTATTATTTTATCACAAATATATTTGATTTATTATTGTATTTTACAGATAGAATAGTATTCTTCGTTGCCTAAATAATATTGTTTTCTTTTTTTTTTTTTTTTTAAGATACAAAAAAAGATAGTTTCATAGATTTAGATAAGATTAAAACAAGTCTATTACATTCTTAACATAAAAAAGAAAACTCGAGAAAAAATCTAAAACGCGTTGTTGATTATACAATAGAAATCTCTTCAAAAAAAAAAGATTGTTATTTTAATAATAATTTTAAAGAAGGCTTCATGTTCAATAACAATCGATGACTAGACTACACTTTCAATTCCATTTATTCAACTTATCTATATTTCAAACTCACATATGTTTATATTCTTAAAAAAATATTTTTTATTATATGATGATTTATTATTAAAAAGCATGGAACTCATTCTATAAAGACTCAACTTTTAGATTTATTTTTGTGCTTGTCTTATGTAATAGAGAGAGAGAGTTCTCAAATGCATTAATAAAATAATGATTACTTTGCTAAATAAAGAATTACTCAAAGATTGAATTTTTTTTTAAATTTTATCATTGTTTAAATTAATCAATTATTTTTTCTACTTCATTTTCTACTGATGTATTAGACTTAATATTAATCTCATCAACGAATATGTCATATAAATAGGTCACTAGAATTCTTTTATTTATTAATTAAACATAGATTTTTTTATATAGTTTTTTTGTTACTGAAATTTACTATGACTTTCTTTTGCTTGAACCTATTTATTTAATATAATAAAAAGCCCATAAATGTCAGTTTTTTTCTCTTTATCGTTTCTGTTAAGTTATTTTATGACTTGAAGTGATTCAACATCGTCAGTATGAGGTGAAGACATTTGAACGATATGTGTATTACTTATGCATAAGCACACAGATAACTGTATTAAACAATCGGACAAACAACAGTTATACCAAAAAGACATTTGGATGTCATGAATTGTTGTTGAATATCTATACTAATTAATCAGTTGAATCAATACTAAATAATAATTGATAGAGATTTTTCGTTCATATCGTGTAAATGAGTAATAGAAAGATTTTTTTTTTCTTTTGAATAACTATTGAAAAAACCGATCGAAATATTAAAAAACACAAAAAAAGAAAAAATTTCAAAAGAAATCGTCTAAATATTGACTCTGAATTTATTTTTAAGAGAGGAAGGAAATATTGTAAAATCAGTTGATGAAAGAAAGCAAACGACACTTATTTATATATATATATATATATATATACTCTGCTAAGTTTTTTATTGTAAAAATTTTTAATAAAGTAAACTGTTCAAATACACTCTCAGTTTAAAATTAGGCAATAAACAACATACAGAATTTATAAATTAAACTTACGAGTCTCATATACATATCATATGGACTAATCAACTTGATCTCGTTTGTAAACCAGCAAGCTGCAGTTTATTGATTCCATAGAAGTGTTGCATATGACGTAATATTCATTTTAATAGTAGACCATCTATCGCGAAATAGAATACCAATTTCTTTGTATATTCTACAATCGTAATATTAACTTAATAAATCGTTGATGAAAATCCAACAATGTATAAATTTTTCATTCAATGAATTTAAAATGAGCGTGGAGCAAGATTGACATAGCCATTTACAAATTGAATAAATATTAAATCCATAAGACGAGAAGTAACAATATGTCTAAGAGAATTATGTAAAATAATATGACAAAATTTAATTTCATTGAACAATTCATTATTCATATTAGTTATGGAAGAATAAAGAATTCGTGTGTATAAAATAATATATGATGATTTTTTTTGTCTATGATTTATCACGAATAAAGAAAGATAAGAGATATTGATAACTCAAAATCTTATGAAGAACGAAAAGAAAATGAATATCTCCGTTGTTGGTGTGTGTACATTTAACTGATAATAAGTTAATTTAATATACTTTGTCTTTCCTTATTAATAGTTATACAGTGAAAAATCAAGAAACAATTTGAGGACAAATCATATAAATTCAATCTATCTTTATTAATTCTTTTTTTGTGTTATTCATTATTTTGAACTTCATAATTTTGTCTTACATTATTAATAGGATAATTTTTCTTATCATCATCCTTATAGAATAAAATAAACTAAAAACTTTTTAAAATTTTAAGTATTTTCAAGTTATCATGATAGATATATAGTCTAGAATTTGAACAGTTGTTTGTCTTCATCCTAAATGATAACTTACCAGAACATTAAAAAATCTAATACAATGATATTCACTTGAAATTTCTTTTCACCATTTGATCTAATATTCTATCATCAATACTAACTTAAGTGAACATTATATATCTTCTAAAACACGTCTTTTCTTATTCTGTATATAAAAATAATATGTTCTTTTTCTTGATCACTACTAAAATTTACGATGCTTCCAGCATAACGCAAGTATATGTATGTCAACAAAGTTGATATTCAATAACAATAACATTCATACATTAAGAGTCAAACAAACACATCTCTAATAAATTCAGAAATCTTAGTGTTATATCACCTTTACTAAAGATATTTGTTTAGAAAAATGTGAAAATACAATAGAAAAATTTAAATGTAATTACCTATTATCAATTATTCAATTGAGAATCGATCAAGAAAAAGTCAAATATTACTATTAAAATATCATATTTTCATTTTTAACTATTATGAAAATTTAGAATGTAAGATATAAAAATTTTTTTATGGAACCCAATAAGTTGTATAAATGTAATTGAAAAAAGGACATACATATTATATAAATATTCTTGTAAAGAAATGTTACTGATATTATTCTTTATATTTGAAGTATTTTTTCTTTTATTTGACCGTTCTTACAAGCCATAATACTAAATGTGTTTGTCTTTGAAAGAACGAAAAGAAGAAGAAAAAAAAACGACATGTCGGTCATGAGTTCGAACATAACTCTTCTGTTTTGCTTTTGACTTTTTTTTACAAATATATTTCGTTTTTTTGTTTTGTTTGTGAATATATTCGTTTCTTTCGATCATATCAGATAAAACTTTTCTATGATAAATAATTAACTTCGTTCTAGTTCAGCATCTCTCTTAATACAAGATGGAATATTAATCCATATCAATTTCGTCTCACTCGATGCTATGTGAACAAGAATTTCATTCTTTTATGCTCAAATGAAAATAATCAATTTGTAAGTGAATAGATATGAGAAATTTTAATTAAGATTTTTTTTCTTTATTGTCTAACATTATGCATATGAATTTTTATTTATTTTCAGCATTCAAGCATATATATCTCTGTGTGAACAAATGTATAAACAAAAGTGAGTTATAATGGATTTATTTTTTGCTAAATATCCACTTTTGGGTCTGATTTTAATTACTAAAAATATCTAAATATAAAATCCACTGAACGATGACTATTCATAATAATAATAATAATAATAATAATAATAATAATAATTTATTTCTTTTTAGATTTTTTATTTCGACTGATGTCACAAGGTAGTATTTTACATTATTTTTAATGTTTCATATTGTATTGATAAGTTATAAACGATGATGATAGAAACCAGCGTTTCATTGGAATGGTTCGCCTCATTATATTTTGTTTCAGACTTGGCAAACAATTACAAAAAAAATACTTGATCAAGTCAATCCTTGCATAAATGTGTCGATTCTCTTTAATTATTTAACCGTTGTATTTTCATTCGAAGATTTCTTACTGTCAAATAGGAGTATATGTTTCGAAAGTTTTCTTGATTGGTTTTTTTAAGTTTTTCATCGAGTTCTTTGATATTATTTTTCACTCTTTCAACAGTTTTCTTTTCTTTTGTGATTTTTCGTTGCCTCTTGTTTTACATATTGAATTTTTTCTATGTAAACAAAGTCACAAGCTCTTTTTGCATACTATTGAACAACATTGAAGTGTCGAAATTTTGTTTTCTTTATTTGCATATATACATATATATTACAATTTATTGTTCTCTTCGATTTATGTAAACCACCCGTTTTACGAAATAAAAAGAAATCAACTCGTAGAATTTAATGTTTAGTTTTTAAGATTTTCTATATTATTTAAGTAATGTTTCGTTATTAAAAACTTCTTTGAGTTAAAAACACATTCAATTCATAAATAAGTTTAAAAAGTGATCTATTTTGTGGATTCAATGAAATATAAAAATAAAAGTAGATTAACATAAATAAAACAATTATTCGTATACAAAAAATTGTATGATCTCAATATTTATAAAGTTTTCTTTTTTTTGTAATCGAGAATATGCTTTTTTTTTCTTATTTATTTCATATATTGAATCAAATTTCAATTCAATTGATTATTTTCATTATGAAAAACATTGTCAACATTTTGTTTTTGAGTCTATAGAAGTGAGATATTAGCAAGAAATAGTTCATTATTTTATTATAAACAGTCAAAACTATATTTATCGTCAAATTTTTATCTTTAGTCATTTTGTTATATTATTTTAGAATTTTGTTTGCAAATAGTGATGGTTTCTTGAAATATATAGTTGCGTGATAATGAAACACAATTTTCATGACTATATTTGTGTTCACTTAATATTACAGTGAAACAGATGAATATGTTATATACCTAGTAATTATTGTCATTCGTCGTTTTTTTAGTTATATTTTCCTGTTCAAGTATTATACTTTAATTTAATATAGAATTTTTATCTCACGGTACATCTAAAAGAATATTGATGCTGTTTTTTTTTTAAACAAAAAATTCAACTTAATTTATAAGATAAAACTTACTACATATATGAAACATTCGTTATCGTATATTCGACATATTCAAATAAAGACAAGCATATAAATATCAGCAGACTAATGTTCTCTGCATAGTTAATTCTAGCAGATTATCCAGAAGGATTGTCTCATTTTCTAAAACTATATTATTTTTACAGAAGAGATGTAGTGGAAGGTAGTCTTCAAAAAATAAGTATAAATTATCCTCGTTAGGTCGTTTAAGAAAGAAAGTTATAGACATAGATGTATCTATTACATTTCAAAGTAAATAACTATTAATATTTGAAATATTACAAAGAAAATAATAGACTAATTGTGATTCAAACAATTAATTCACATATGCGAATCTACTTGAGAATTCTTTTAAAATTAGTAAAATATCTAAAACCTTTATTCAATATATATAATATCATGTATTAGTGTTTTCTTTGACAGAAGAAAAACACACTTAGACATCAGACAATACTGTTAAAGAATTAAAATCTTATGAATATCTTTTTCATTATTACAAAAATTATTTCAGAGAAAAATAATGCAAATGTCAATAAGGAGTTCAGCAAAAAAAATCGAATACTATATGGTACAACAAGAAGCGTTAAAATAGAAAGGCTTACGGAAGCCGTCCAAAATGACTTTATCTAAAAAAAACGATCAAAGTGAAGCCATAGTAGTTTTCCAATTGTAATAGTCTTGTCGAGATTAGAATTCGTTTTTGTCAAAGAAAGAACTAACACATGATATTGTGTTGATTTAATGAACATTTTAGATATTCAATTAATTTTAAAAGAATTCTAAAATGGGTTCACATATATGAATTACGTCTTTAAGCTACAATTAATCTATTATTTTCTTTGTAAACTTTCAAATATTAATAGTTATTTACTTTGAAATGTAATAAATATATCTATGTCTGTAACTGTCTTTCTTAGTCGACCTAACAAGGCTAATTTATACTTATTTTGAAGAATGGGTTCTACTGCATATTTTCTGTATTAATAATATAGTGTTATAAATACGTTAATTAATATAGATATATTTCTTATATAAAATAAGAAAGAACTTTTAGGTTATCGTTTATTAAATACTACGTATTAACAATATTCCAGTTAAAAAAAAACAATTGTTGAGCATTTCAAAAAAGTATCAATTAGAATAAGAATAGATTATCCTTGTTGAACAGTACTACTCGGATAGCATATTACGTTTTAAAATTTCCATATTAGAAAATGTCTCTTATAATTGTAACTATGAAGGAAAGATTTGAGCTAATGTACATATTTATTTTAGTATAAATTTGTACTTAAAATAGACCTAAATTGAGCCATAAATGATTGAAGTGAAGATCGCATAATTCTACCTCTACGAGTTACATTGAAAAATGTTTATCGTTTAATAGAATAATCACGAATTTTCTTTTATTAATAAACTGATTTTAAAACAGTCATAAGTTATCGTGATTTGTATACATGATAGTTAGAAACAAATATATTTCAAATTATGAAATGGATAACTTAAAAGAAAGTTATTTCCGAAAATCGATCTTGTAGTCAGTAAAAAAAAGATATCACTTTAATATTTTACTTGTAGATATATAGCATGACAGGATTACTTAAAATAGAACAAATTATTCTTTTCTCACAGTTTTTTTTTCGGTTTAACTGTTCAGGAATATTTTTTTAACATCTGGTTTTTGTTTTTTTTTCATTTGTTCTGATAAAATAATTTTTAAATAAAGTTAATTTATTAGATTATTTAGTACGCGCTGTGATCGATGAAGGTGGTGATAGTTGATGCATCTGTGAAAGATTACCGGTTGCTACTTCGTAAGATGGAGGTGAGCCTTCATATATACTAGGAAATACTTGAGATTGCGGTGCAACACCCACATTATTAATAGGTCGCATAAGAATGACTCGTACTGGACGTCGAAGAGCCTGTTGTTGATAGAGATTTGTAATAATTGTAGGATCCGAATTACCGTAATCATCAGGAACATTTTGGCGTTGTTGAGAATGTATGCAACAACTTAAACATGTAACGAAACAAAGAATTGAACTAATGACAATAACAGCAATAACAGATGGTGGAAAGCCTGTTGAATTCTCGTTTGAACCATAGTCACGTCCTAATGTTTGATCGTCTGTCCAAAAAAGAAAAGAGAAATAGAAATAGTTACGTTTTTCAGAAATTTGACTTATAGGGACAAAATCATTAACAATATATGCTACAGAGACTTTTTTCAATGTCAAAAATGAAAAAAAGAGAAAATTTTCATGCTTTAAAGTATTGTTTCTAATATACACATACCAAAATAATTATGGTAGCAAAAAATACTTGTCGTTTTAAAACTAAGCAGAATAATAAGAAAAAATATGCAACTAATTGATGATCTAAACATTAGTATATAAAAGAAAAAGAACAATGTTGTCTTATGTAATTTGTTCACTAGAAAATGATTCTTATCATTCTCTTGTTTAAATTATACTAAAGATAATAACACGTTACAGACAGATAAGAACTCAGGCTGGATGTTCGAAAGATTCTTCATGACATTTCTTTTTAATAAACCAATATATTTATTTAGAAAGAAGAAACAAATTGAGTAAATCTAATGGATTATTTCTTACAAAATTAGACTATTTATACACTGATTTTATATTCACAGATAAATTACTCTATTTTACAAACATTCTAAAGCATAATTTCAACTTGATTATATTATTTACAGATCAAAACTGCTACTTGAAAATTATAACAATGTGATCAAACTAACAAACAATCGTTTATTAAAAATCTAAGAGTCTATATGATGAACGCTACAAAAGATTGAACAAAAATGTTATATACTGAATTAGATAAGTAGCATGAAAACAGAGAATACTAATGAAATTGTCGTTATTATTCTATTTAATGTATAATTATATTTATTCTACAAGAAAAATTGAATGATAACAGTCTTTTCGTTAAAAATATACGTTTACGGAAAATCTGTGAGCAATTATAAGCTGAATAGTTGTCACTCAAGGTATTTCTAGAGTCAACTTTGACTATAAATCATTGATTATCAAAACTGAACTTGTTTTTCTTAGCTCTTGATTAGATCTAATGTTTCAGTTTTATTCGACACGAATAAAAAAAAATGCAAATTAAACGAAAACACTAAAAAATATATTGTCTGTTGCTATGATTTTCTTCAGTACTACATATATTTCGACTTGAGAATATTGATTATACACTGTATCAATTCAATACGGCAATTGATAAATGTCAATCCTTAGTTTTCGTAGATGTACTGATCTGTTATCCAAATAAGGAAGTCATTATTGACCTGAATAAACTAAATAATATTATTTGCTTCCACTGTTTATTGTATTGAAGATGATCATTGGCAAAAATTCCATAGCGCATTTATAAAATAATTACTTACTTCAAGTAAAATCGAATAAACTGACCTAAAATCATAAAAAATTCACAGAACTTTGTTTTTCTTGGGGTAAATAGCTTAATCATTGTATGAGACCTTCTAGAAGATCCATCCTCAATGTAAAACTCTACTAGGATTCAACCTGAGGATGATAATGTTTTTAGTCAAGATACATTAAATTGTAACCTTTATATTATGGTATAAAAAATCTTACTTTGTTTTCATCTTCTAGATGAATAATGTTATGAATTGTTCCTATGTAATATAGACAATTCATATAAAAAGGACAAAGCTTCACGCCATAATATTCTTTCATACTTGAATTTTGAAAGCTACATTTCATCACAAAAAATATTCAACTCAACGAATTCTATCAGACAATGTCTATGGGCGAAATTGAATTTCTTAATACTAAAGTGTCGATGAGTCGTTTTGCGACCTTATACATTTCTGTCTTTTTTCACTAGATTCCATCCTCATGATTGTTCAATAGGGCAAAAAACTGTGTCTGTTTGAAAATATCATCATCATTAGTGACATGTGGACAGAATGCAGTTCAACTTTTTTGAACATTCCGTTCTTCTAGTCGATCATTATTTTCATATAAAATTGAGCAGAAAAAGCATGTAACATTTTATCATAATTTATTCGACAACAATAATCAAGACACAAACGACAAATAACAAAAGTACGCGATTTAAGTGAATCTTTATAAACAAATATACATGCGATCAATGATCACAACCTAAACATATTTGTAAGTATGATGATTACGTCTAGACTGAAAAATAAACAAAAGATTTCAGAAAAGACAGCTATTGAGTTGGTATAATACGAAAACATTTAATCACGCTTTCGACTATTCGGACTAAATATGGTACAATAAACCGTAATCCACCAGATAGAGCAGAGAACACACTCAAAAATGTAGTCAATAATTGTAGCGCATCGATTCGGTAATAATATGTGTAAATACACTGGTTTGGTGCACACGTGTTAAACAAATTCTCATAAGAAACATTAGTTGTCCATGATTCAATAAACATGCTATAAGCCATCGTTTCGATTGTATCTGTGACAGAAAACCGTGTTTCTCTAGCATCTAACATGACGGGAATACCTGTTTCATTACTCCATATTTCTAGATCGGCCGGGTAATATAGGTCCATGGCCGCCCGAAATTCCTTAATGCATGCCATCGAATAAAAACACGACAATGAAGATCGTAATATAGTTTCAAGAAGAAAACAGCCCAAGACCAAACCTCGAAATGTGTAGTAACTTGTACCATTAGGAAAAACTAATTGAGCTGGCATCGAACAAGATCGTTCAGTGGCACAAGAACATGTTGTATATTGATTTGTTGATACACTGACAAATGAAGCATTTGTACCTTGACTATTTTCAGTCATGACAAAGTTCCAACTCAATGAAAATACATCGATCAATGCATTGGCTTGACTAATCAAACGAAGTAATTCCAATATTCGAGTGAATGCTATAGGTGTAGATAGTTTCACTCGATTCAATGTGATATTCATTTCATTATCGAATTGAATGCGCGGTATTAACTGATAGGTCAGCATAGTTGAAGCTAGAAATGCTTCAATATCATTGGTAATACTATCTTCTGCTAAATGACATAGCCTATTGAGACCGTCGATGAAAGAAAATCGCCATGATTGAAAATTGATCCTATTAGTGTATGTAGTTGCAGGATCAATAATACTGCCCATGATCAAAGTTCGCTCAATTACATCAGTAGTACATGCCTGATGATATAAATCGACTTTAAGTTGAGTCACAAATGTATTGTAAGGAATTGAAATTCTTGTACAAGGACAGTCAACCCCATCAGGATGAAGATTTAGTAAATGTTCGTAGTCTTCAATCGATGGCTGTAAATGTGTTTTACGAATAACACGACCAATAATAGACGAGTAAAACATTACTATGCCAAGAATGCTAATGAAAAGAATAAGATAAACTCGACTATAAATTTTCTGTTTATGTTCACTTGTTCGATCAGATGTCAATGATTTAAATAAATTTATTGCTAGAATTGTTTGAACCAAATCATTCAGAAACCTTTTTCGACGAGAAGCAATGGATCTAAGTTCTGAAAATCAAAAATATATTTTTTTTCAAATTTGATCTACAATTCAGGTCTATTTAATAAAATTCAGTTAATAAAGGATGAGACGTATTTAGATCATGTTAGGATTCATGATACATTTCGACAGTGATTATATGATGAAACAATATGGATGAAAAAGTTATCTATTCATCAATCATCATTATTTTACTTCCAAAATAGTGTTACTAACTATCTTGTCCTTCTATCTGTTTATAAAATTCGACATGCTTCTGGTTATCAATCTTGACAAATAACCTAGGATACAATATCATGTAGATTTCACTGTATGAAGTTTCAAAATATAAATATGACATACAATATTTGAGACTATTTATATGTCGATCGATACTCAAAACGATTGGTAAAGTATGTTTACATACTAGTTTCAATATTGATATTGTTTGAGATCTAATATGTCGCTAATTGAATCATTTGATGCTAAACTGTACTCGATTTGCGTTAAGGCTCTTTCTTCTGAAATAATAATCACATATATGTGAGTATTATTTTGCATGAAAACAAAATAATTTTTCTATCACAAGAATCTTTCTCTGACGTTACGTCTGTATACTGCAATTAGTTTGAATTTGTCTTTTTAATGATAATAATCGGAACAATGTGTGATGTTGAAAAAAAAAGTTTTCACACTTGTCGAAGGAACAAGTAAAAATTAAAAATAAACTTTAAGTTCTATAAATCAGAGTCAGCTGTTATTATTTATTCGATGGATTTTATGACATGAGCAAGAAAAATTCCATTTTTACTCATTTCATGAATTCGAAGTAAGAAAATTTATGTTTCACGCATGTTCATATCGTAGATACTTAATCTTCTTCTTTCAATAGAGCATAATCTGCTTACTAAGTCATCGATCATCAATGATAATTTCGATTTATCGAAAGAGTTTTTGCTCAATTTTTATATACTGGCAAACCAATAATTTCTTTTTTTCAGTTGTTTATTTTTTTGTCATCAGACTTAACTCAAATACGGCAGGTATTATCTGCTACAGTTCATAGTGCACTTACCATGAATAATAGTCGAATTTTGATATTTTCGTATAAAAAAGTAAATAAGGCTGCCAATTAATGGTATAATTAATCTAAGTCCTCGACTAAGTCCTCCATAGACATTAATGAGTAATATAATAGCAATAATAATCTCACGTCTTCGTACGACTTGATATGAACAAGCGACAGGTGCACATTGTTCATAAAAAAGATCGAAACGCGTGTTGTTGCTTATCACCGTTTCTATAAACATTTCTTGGAGCAAAATATTCAATGAACAATGTTCAAATCGTGTTGGAACTGACCGATTGAGTGATTTGATATCGAATGAAGGTTGAGAGTTCATTATCATACTGTATGTCATTCGAATATTTTCAATATATGTTATATTGTACCACCAATCGATCTCTGACAGGAAAAGTCCAAAAATAGGTATGCATCCAATCTTTAATTCATGAAATATTTGTAAAAAGTCCAATACATTTGATCCATTTGTATAAATAATCGGTTTCAAAAAACATAATTCGTCTTCGAATCCACAAGAGCAACTTCCACTAGTCGATAAAGAGTGATGAGTTATTTGTGTTACTATGAGAAAGGTAACATCATTAATAATTACTTGACCATCAATATCGACTGTTATGTGAAAGTTAGTATTTGCACCTGTCAAAAATTGACTAACCATGGTAGCAGTCTGAGTCCAGTTTAACGTGCGTGCGAATTCATGGCGTGTTTTAGCAATGAATGATTCAGAAATATATTTAACTTGTTGAAAAAAAAGTGATTGAGATGGCAGATAATTATTAATGAATTGTGTAGATAAGAATATACGTTGGGCATCTTCAATGTTGATTTCGGCAAGAAGGCAATATGTGGCCAAAAATTGAAAATACGATGCACCATAAGTACGAAAATCACGTGAGAAATCAGTTTCTGTCCAAATTGGTACACGATTTAGATTGACAAGTAATAGATAATTAAGCCACATTGATGACACTAAACTACTTTTGCATATTTGATGTAATACAAATGTTACATTGAGAAATCTACCGTATGAAACTGATAATTGTGAACAAGGACATAAAAGATTTGATGAATGTTGTTCATATAATATTTCATATTTCGATAGAGATGGATATTCAATAGTGACAAGTTGATCTTGATTGGAAAGAAATATATAAAATCCAATGGTAATTGAACACAAAACAAGTAAGAGAATGAAGCATCGTGTTAAAATTTGTTGTCGACGTATATTCATCGGTGTTTGTAATTCATTTGTTTTGAAAAGATTCAAAGTGATCATTTTTTGAGCAATTTTGCTTAGAAAATTTCTAACATGATCACGTATCATACTCACTAGTAGAATTATAATGAAATAAAATGCTTCACATTAAACATTAGTTTTGAACACGTTTCAAAGAAAAGGAAAGTTTTTTGAACACAAAAAATATTCTTTTAGAAATTTCTAATGCATCGGAAGTCAATTTCAAAAATTATGCTAGGTAGCGCAATTTTTCCTAGTTAATCGATGTTTTTCAAATTACCGTCTTATCATATTTCTAATTTTTATACTTGATTTATGATGTATTGATGTAGGAGTACATTACCTAAATGGATTCAAACATGTTCCACTAGAACAATTGTTTAAATATGTTTTGAGTACACTCTCGTTTGTTTTCGGATATGCATTTGAACACGTCTTAAGTAATTAATGCATTTACATCACACATTGCAGCGTCTTGACAAACTACATGGAAAATGTCTTTTTTTTTTTGAACGACTTTTTCATTCGAATCCTGACAGACGCTGTGATACATGATCTATATGCTTCTTGAGACAGAAATTCATCGTTTCAGGAAGATTTTAGAAGAAATTGAAACATACTATGTACTTGTTCGTAGCTGCGTTGAAACGTGTCTCAAGCGTTAATCATGCAACGATCAAATTCAGATCATATGATAGTGAATGCTTTCTTGTTTCGGTCAGATGTATCCTTTCGTGAGTCTCCTAAGCAAAAGAATCTCGAAATCACGCTTCGGCGTTTCTCAGACATAAGCTCCGTTTTGTATCAGATGCATTTGCTTTTTTATGTAGCAATTTTTCGAATCATAATACATTTGTAAACATCTCAACATGTAGCTAATAGTCAAGAGTATTAACGAGCATATGCTACTACAATCAAAATAAATCCTCCTATACAACAGTAGTCCACTAATATATTTCAATCGTCGTACAAGAGATATAAAGTAAATTCATAGTTACTAAATGAACGCTTCTCTTTTTTATGAAATACGTAGTTCATTTATTCACGAGTGTTCTAATTAGTGGCGTAACTAGAACAGTGGCGCCCCGCTGGCGGTGGTAGGGCAGTGGAAGGTGGCGCCACTATTATTTTGCTTATAACTTTTTAACTAAATGATACGAAGACCGAAAAGTTTCCCCAGATATAGTACATGTTAGGGCGAAATTACGATAGCAATTCCAGGTCTTCATAACACTCTGCTACAAATTTATAAGCAAAAAAAGAGTGGCGCCACCTTCCACTGCCCTACCACCGTCAGCGGGGCGCCACTGTTCTAGTTACGCCGCTAGTTCTAATAATGCATATCGTACTTATCCCATACTCGTGTCTACTTTTAAGTTTAACCAACTATAATTTAACCTTGTAAGATAACTCAATTTTTCGTTAGAGATTTTTTTCATATTTCTGTCAACGTAATAAAAGTTTACATTATTTCATTTCTAGACTTTGTATAAAATTTCATGACAGAAATAAATCCAATACAATAGCATTAAAACATGCCTATTTTCTATTCGTCAGTTCCTGAACAACCATCTCTCATTAATATCCATAAGTGCACATGTTTTGACTCACGAAAGAAATGCGTTTGTTCTCTAATAAAAAAAAAATTGTAGAACAAACAACAGTATATACACGAAATAATTTATAACTAAACAATGAAAAACAATCAACTAATGTATTCGATGATTTACATTGTTATGTTGCACTCGTCCGGATGGAGTAGACTTCAATTTCATATCGAGAGGGATAAGGATGGGTTTGCAACACAAGTAGTTTCTAGACATGTATAGGACCTTTAAAATATTTACCAACGAGAAATTTCTTCATACATTGATTTTTAACTTACGTCTTTGTCGGCGAGAAATCACAGCAATCACTGATATAACATGGGGCGTTAACTTTCGATTTCGACGTTGAAAAATATATCTTACAATTTGAGGTACAAGCAGTCTCAGTACAAATGAAGCTCCGCTGTAGATGCCAATGATTGTAGTTATGATAAAAATGAAAGAAAATCGATTTGTATAACTGTAAGAACAATGAGTCGGACTGCATTGTCGGTAAAATGAGTCAAATAGAATTTCAGTAGTCAAACTATCAACCATAGCTTCATCGATAAGCGCTTGCACAGTGGAATTTATAAGAAAACGCTTATTTGAATTCTCCAATAATAATTTTACATTTATACTTGATTCTCCATGCAATAGAGAAAAGCATGATGAATTATAGTAGCATTCGAGCGTTGAAGCTAACGTAGCATCAACAATAAAACAATCACCAATCATACCAGGTATTGTAAACAATTGATGATAGCTAGTATTGATGATAATGGGATGTGGACAACCACGAAAATTCAAACAAGAACAATTATTGTATGTTCTTGGCAACATTTTTGGAGTAGCTTCATTACCGAAACCTGATGGTGAATAACTTAAATAATAATTTGTAGTCAAACCAGATACGAACTGATTTCCAGCAATTATACTTCGAATAGCAAGCAAATTACGAACTAGTACAGTTTGAGCAAATGACATAGAACTATCAAGTGTAGTTTGAGCTTGAATTCGAAGATTTTCTTCAACAACTGCTATTGGACTAACAATGCGTAACGCGCCAAAACTTGTCACAGCATCTATCCATGTACTATTGCTGAAAGAACAAAAACCAGCTATTATTTCCCAAAAATATCTCAGATAATATCGAATATCATATGTAGATGAAGAAGAGTGATTTTTTTGTAAAAATATTGAATTAATCCATGCTTGAGTAACAAATGCGCTCGAACATACATGATGGAACTTGACATGAGTATGAACGAATGTTTCATAAGCAATACCAATCTTGGAACATGGACATCTGAGTGTTTTGGGATATTTTTCAACCAATTTGATAAACTGAGACTGTGACGGCGAATATACAATCTTATCTATTGATCGAACATCAAATCCAGCAATAGTACCAACAACAATCAAAACGACAGCAAACAACACGATATAGACACGGGTTGACCATCGTTGATGAAGAATGATCTGTATATCGTTTGAACCGGTCGCGAAAACGTTCAATTCAAGACAATATTTCTGCAATCTATTCCACGCCATAATGGCTGTGTTCAAATGTCATGTGGCAAGCGTTTAAAAATGATTAACGAGAAAAATGTGTTTTAGCTTTAAGATGTTTGTATAGTCAAGCAAAATGAGAATTTTGAACCAATCAAATCGATACAAGTAAGTTTAACAGATGGCAAATGAAGCGATATGAAAAATAAAGAGAAAGTAAAGACACTCATTCTAAGAATTTGATGTTGACTTGCAAATGGGACTAGTCAGCGGTGTGAAATAAGAAAAAACGCAAGTCTTTGTGAAATAAAAATAATGCATATCTTAGTATTACGGCAAACATTCTAGCCAGTTGAACTAGAAAGATTAAATATTCTTATCCTAAACGTGAAATGTTCTCATTCGTAGCTAACTCTCATGTAGTGATACTCTTAAAGTATTTACAATATAAAATCCTGCAAGACATGATCAGTATTCGTGGCTTTTGAAGAATCATTGGTCGTACTTGCAGCGAGTTTTACATATCTAAGTACTACAATGGAACACTCATATAATAACATTTTGTGTCACCACTGAGTATTCTTCCATGATGTTTTAGTACTGTGCCAATATATTTGAAAGAGTCCTGCTATCTAACATTTTCTACACACACTTTTTTATATATCCATATCAATAAATTTAATTCTTGAAATATGTGAGAACAGAAATGCTATTTTTAAAACTGATTATACTCTGAAAATCAAGGATTGCGAGTGTTTTATATAGAATCTTTTTAATACATACTTTATTTATATTGGAGTTCATGACTGTCTAATGAAGTGACAGAAAGAAAAAAAAGAGAAAACCATATTTACTCGAAAGAAAAAAAAGCGTATACATGAAAAAGATCAGAAATTCATGCACAAGACTATTCGAAATCATCAACATAAAAAGTAAATAAAGAATATTCTAATAATCGAAATCAATTATGAAAACTCGAAAACATGAACATATAGTTCAAGGAACAATCATCTTATCAAACTGAAATTTGTAGACACCACTGTCGTCATTAGAGATATTACACACATATTACTTCGAAAAGATCTATAAAACGCTTAGTGATGAAGTATGTTTAAATTGTCGAAACGTGTTCAGTGAGTATATAAACGATCGAACATATTATATTCATATTTTATTAAAAAAAACATCCTATAAGTGACTAAACCGTGTGAAAGTTTATGTTCTGAGATCTGTCTTATAATAAGACTAAGTCACTAATCATCATTTTCATTTAGACTTTTTCTATCCAAATGATCAGGCACTTCCTTTTAAAGAAGTAATTCATAGTGGAATTTGATTATGCTTAATTATTATTTGATGAATGAATGAATGAGTTGTTTTTCGATTTATTGCCTCTCATAAGTATTCGTTGAAAAGACAAAACAATTATTTCATTGTAATTGGAACAGTAACCATCTCGGATTCATCGAAATAATTTTCAACAAGCCAAACATTATTATAAGATTTTGTTTATATTATTATTTAATCGAAGCAAATATGCATTGTTATTCATTGAAATTTACTCGAAAAGAAATCATTACATAATATAATAATTGATAAAAAAAGAAAAAGAAAAAGAAAAACAACTGCTGAGAGAATTGAGTCGATAGAGTGGAATGTACACACGCAAACAAACATGCATTAGTAGTATTGGTCATATTATCTGATACTCAAAATTAGACCAGCTCTATATATACAAGAATAAACATACACATTGGCGAGCGCTTAAACAATAGAGATTCATTCGTCGCAAAAACAATTGCACAACAGTTGGATATATGAATAATATAAAAGATTAAAAAAAGACGAAAAGATAATGTGCAATAATAATTATTTGAGAAAAAAAAACAAAGAAAAAAAAAGAGATAAACTCGAGATAAAATACTGGCATTAGATTAATTAAACTTCAGTTGGTTCTTGATATGCATATGTAGTAGATGAAGAAGGCGGATTAGAAACTTGATGATAAGATGGTGGAACTTCATCATGGTGTACTGTTGTTGGTTGATGGACAACCATTTGTTGAGGTGGTGGTGGTGTTATTACTCGACGACCATGTTGGTGTTGTTGTTGTTGTTGTTGTTGTTGTTGATGAGAATATTCTTTTTGATTATAAGTTGATGATGTTTTTGTTGGCGCTCCAGGACCGGCTTTCTATTATAAATACGAAAAAAAATATTTATAAATAGAAAAGATTAATTATTGATATAGAACGCAATGAATAAGCAAAACATAAGCGGGGTAAAAAAAATGTTTCATCAAATATGAGCAAGAGCATAGATGCATGGTATATCAGGCAAAAAAAAAACCGAGAACATTCAACATCGTTCATGATAGTCGATACAAATTAACTTACCACACGAAATGTAAATTTTTTCGGAAGAAACTGAAAGAAAAATATTTTATCAAAAAAATAATAGATGATACATGCGCATATAATAAATATTTCTCATAACCCTTTTCACCCAACGAATAGCAAAAATAATGATTTAAAAAGATTAATCGAAATATAGAAGACAAAAAAAAAATATGTGCTAAATTTATGTGTAATTGTGATAAAATTTAAAGATATTTATTTTTTGTTTTGTTTTTTTTCTTTTTTAATATACATACAGCTGAATCTTCGGTGGCATTATTTATTTGTTGTTGATGTTGTAAATCATCTTCTTCTGATGATGTATCATTATTTGTTGTTTGTTGTTGAGCTTTTAATTGTGCTGGATTATGATAATGATGATGTTGATAATCTTTTTTAGTATTAAATGATTTTGGTGAAGGTGTTTGTTGATCACGTTTTGGTATTATTGATGGTGGTAATGGTGGAGCTTCCTGTGAACGTTTTTTAACAGGTAATGATAATGCTGATTGTTGATTAGATCTTAATGATTGAATTGATTCTGAAAGTGATTTATGTGAACCAAATGGTGTTGTTGTTCGGGATCGATTTGTTGTTAATGGCATAGCATGAACACTAGTATCAATATCATCATCACCACCACCACCACCACCACCATCATTATCAGGTGAATAAGAACGTCTTGGTGGTGGTGGACGAGAACCTGCAAAAGTATTTGCTTCTTGATATGCAAGTGGTAAAGAAACAGGAGGAACTTGACGATATGATGAATGTGTACTTGTCATTGATGATGAACGATTTGGTACTGGTGGAGCTTGACTTGTACTACTTTCAGCTGATTCAACTAAATGTGATGTTGATGATGTATCACCTTTTAATACTTCACGTTTATATTTCGTATGATCAATTGGTAAATTACTACTATGACCCCAACGATTTTTTCCTTGTTTACTTAAATATTTAAAAAATTATATAAAAATAAATATTTATTAGAAAAAAAAAAACCAAAAAAAAATCTCAACTTACTCATTCGATAATTTTTCTGCTATAATACAAGAAAAAGATTTTAATGATTTATTGAATAAGAAAACAAAACAAAAAAACTATAACATACCAGATGGTAAACGTTTTTCATTAGTATTATTTTTACGACGTTTTAAAAAAATAATAGCAGCTATTATAATACAAATAATAACAAGCAGTAAAATACCACCAACACATAGTCCAATAATCATTAGAATTTTATATGATTCTAATATAAATTTATTTTAATTAAGTAATGATTTAATTAATTAAACTTACTTCCTCGAGTTCCATTTGTACTTCCACCTGTTTTCAATCCACTAGATGGAGCTAATAACAAATAGAAACAATAAAAAACTAGTTAAGCAAAATTTTTTTTTGTAAATAAAAATGTTTGAAAAAAAACTGAAGCATGGAAACAAAACAATATAATCATGCAAAACAGTCAAACGAAATAGCATAATTCCACAAAAGGTTACACTTTTTGTATTCTTACTTTTACTTTCTCTCTTACTCATGCCAATATTACTTATCTAAACATAGATTTTGTATATATATGAGAATAGATTTGCATGATATATTTCATTTATCAATAATATTACTTTAGAAAAATAAAACTATTCATTGAACATAAAAAAAGGATTAAGAAGTTTGCAAGATAAAGTTCTGACATATAGATTATTTTAGTTAAATAAATAAATCTTGTATTTTCTGAATTTTAAAATTATGAAGATTTATTAACGATAAACTAACATTTGAACTAACAAAGGAAAGAATCTCTTGAAATTTTATAATGGTTTTATTCTCATCTTTTAATTAATACATAAGCTTTTATAAAACTAAAATTATTCAAGAAAAATACAGATTGATGAATCTAAACAGTGTAGCAAGATTTGTTTTATAAGGTTCAGGAATTATAGTAATCTACAACCTGAAATCATGAAAAAATATACAATATCTTGTGAAGAATATAAACAAAAGTGAGAGCATTGTAAAATCTATTATAATATGTTTATATATGATGAACTCTACATGTGAAGTAGATCGATTAGTGATGAATTAATGGCACTTGTCTCCTTAACAGCTCCTCATATAACACTTACTTTCTAATAGCAATTCTTAGAAATATTATTTATTATATAAGTATTATATTTAATTGTAAACATTCTTATGATCATTTTTCTTCTCGTTAATATTCTCTAACGTACATATCGATTCAAGCGAAATTTCTTTTAATAAAAATCATTTTTTAAATTTTCTACAAATTGATCTATTTTATTCAATTAATTTTGTCTCTCTACTATTTGAAAACTAGCCATAATCATAGTAAACTATTGACTTTTACTTTAAAAAAAAAAATTTTTATAAACTTCTTTAACTATTCTATATAGATAAGTTCTATCAAGATATTTTCCATCATATGATTATAATTAATTCGTAGAAAATAAATTTATCTCAGACGAAATGATTTCAACTATGAATTAAGAAATTATAATAACAAAGTTTAAAACTTCAATAGATATATAAAAAAAGAAAGTAAAATATTGAAAAATTTATGTATTAGTTTGCTAAAATAATGTCTACTTTTAAATATAAAAGAAATAACATTCATTGAACAATTAAAATCAATTTGTATAGAGTTTGACAAGAATTTGTAAAAAATAAAGGTTACTTTCGAACTGATCGAAATGTTAGAGAGTAACCTTGTTCATCGTTTATATAATAGAAATAGTAAATGTCAATTTTAACGTAACTACTATCAAAGGTCATTGAGTTGAAAATTAAGAAAACTACAATTGATCACGAAAAACAAAACAAAAAAGAAGAAAAATATAAATAATTAAAATAAATATAATATAAACATTATATTTGTATTGTTTAAGAAAAATAGTTTATAAATAATTTAATAGAAATTTTAAAAATAGACTATATATAATAAAAGAACACGTCATTATTGTTCTAATATAATATACACAAATATATTCTGAAGTATAAAGATACAATGAAGATTTTCAGTCGACAAGAAGAAAATGAGAACCTTTTTAAAAAATCACGAATATAGTATTATTCTAAGACCTATTCAATTTTGATCATTATCGTTTCAGTTTACATGCACAATCAAATTCATTTTATTTTAAATTAAAATGATTATTTATGAATAATTTTCAATGAATTATCAATTCAATATTTCGAATAGGATACATTCATCTTTGTTCAAAACTTCGACAGTATTCTATTCATTCTAAGACTTCTTCTTAAACAATTATTTACGTTTAAAATAATTGATTTTATTTCGTAATATAAACGAATATTTATTTCATTCTGTGAGTTGATCAACTCAATACTTTCTACGATTATTCAAATCTCATAAATATCTTATTTATGACTCAATGGTGAACTCTACAAGAACGTAATAATTCAAAAAATTTCCTCGAGACTAATAATTTTCAATTTATTTTTCTATCAAAATAAAAATTTTAAATAAATAACTTACGAAGAACTGTAATAAAAAATTCTTGTTTAACTGTTTTTCCTCTTGATTGTGCTTGACATTGCATTATATATTGTCCAGGATTTTGATAAATTCTTTGTACTTGTCGTGTTGTACTAAATACACTTAATCCAGATATTGGAATATTTGATGGTGGTTGTAATGGATATTGTTGTCCATAAGGATTTTGATGACCATAATATGGCATTATACCTGTTGATATATTATTATTATTATTTGACATATCATACCAAACATATGATGGAATAGGATTTGCTTCTATTTGACATTCCAATTCAATCATTTTTAATGATTCAATTTCTAAATTAATAGTTGGTAAAGCACCTGCTTCTAAATTAGGTCCATCTATATTTAAAAATAAAAAAAAAACAAATATATAAATAAAATAATAAAAAATGAATTATATTTGTTATATTTGATTTTATATTAAACTTACATTCAACATTAATAGGAATTGTTTTAATAAGAAAAACATCAATATTATTATTTGATTCAACTTGACATTGAATTGTTTCATTATGATCAGCACGTGTTAATGGACGTTGAATTGATATTGTACGTTTAAAAATTTGTTCATTTAATGTATCATTATAAATTTTATTATTTAATAATGTTGATGATTGTGTACGTGTAGACAAAAATAAATGAAGACGTGGTAAATTTTCAGTACCAACTAAAACTGATGATGATGATGTTCTTGATGATGATGGTAAAGATGATGGGGGTAATATAGCAAGATTATTTGATGATGATAATAATGATGATGGTGGTTCAGTTAATTTAAATGTTGAACGAATTATTGATACAGAACAAGATACAAGTGATGAACCATTATTATCTTCACTTGTATGAAAATTATGAATTTGTAAAGAAGAAACTAAATTAAAATAAAATATCGAAAGATTTATTTTTTTTTTTTTTAATTTTTATTTTAAATGAATTACCATTAATAGCACTTAGTATATTAACAAATGTTTGCCAATTAGCATCGACTGCTGAATAATAACCAACCGTTGTTGAATCAAGTGAAAGAATAGTTAAACGATTATTTTGTTCATCATAATTAAATTTTGATTTATTTGAAAATCCCATACCCGTTATATATAATGAATAACCATTTAAACCTAAATAAGTTACTCTTGTTGATGGTGGTGCAACATGAAATGAAAATGGTTCAGATAAATTTCCAACTAAATAACGTTCACTTGGAATAATTGAAGGTAATGGACCTTGACCAGATAAATGATCATTTATAGGTTGTTGATATTGATTAACAAATGGTGGTGGTTGTTGTTGTTGAATTGGTTGAATTGATTCAGGAGATTGAATCAGGGGACCTTGCATATTTCCTTGATAGTATTGTTGTTGAGGATCCATTTGTGGTTGTTGTTGCTGTTGCTGTTGCTGTTGATGTATTGGAAGTTGCTGTTGATGCATTGGAAGTTGTTGTTGTTGTTGAATTGGAAGTTGTTGTTGTTGCATTTGATGCTGTTGTTGATGCATTTGTTGTTGTTGAAACATATCACCATTAGCAGTAAGGCCATACTGTCCGGGATGTATATATGATAATTGGCCCATCATAAGCCGTGGTAAAACAACAATATAGACTAAACAATTATTAATATTTATGATATACTTTAATGAGTACATCAAATTCAATTTCAGTCAAATTCAATTCTTAGACTTAACTGAATTTGATCTTTAAAAAATCTGTATTGAATTATTGATTTTTATTAATATGTTTCGTATTTTTACTTCTACAACAATCAAATTGAGTTAAATCTAAATCAAGAATTTGAATTAGATTTAACTGGATTTGGAATTGGTGCATCTCTACATATTTAATGTTTAATATTAGATGTTTTTTTTTCAAGAGAATTCATGTGAGTTTAAATGTTATTAAAGATTTTTCAAGTATACTTACTACGTAGTCTTTTTTTAATTAACAGTTAGAATGATAAGATTTTGTTTAAAAATCAAAATTCAATATCCGTTAGTTAATCGTTATTGATTTAATTTTCAATTTTTAAACATGATATTTAATAGAAAAATGATGCAATTTTATTTTAAAAAACAATAATTTTTTTTTTTTTTCACAAATAAATTGCTCATCTATTGCTCATTAAAAACTTGTAATAGAAATAAGTGCAATTGAAAGAAAATAAACTGGTGAAGAGTCAAAAACCTGTTTCTTTTTGCCGTTTCTTTGCAATGCAACAAATCTTTTTCTTGTTTTTTTGTTTGTTTTTATAAATAAATCCTTACCGAGAAAAGCTTTAACAGCCATTGTATGATAATAATCACATGAGATTATCCATGGACGGAAAACGATACTTATAGTTTTATTAAATGAAATAAAACAAAACTAAATCTAAAAGAAAAAGAAAATTAACCTGTAATTTAGAATAATATTCGAAGCAAACTATCGTTCGATTTGAATTTATTTGTTCATTAGTATTATTTTCTGGCCAAATAGAAAAAAAGATTGAGAAAAAAAAAACGATAAGGAAAAAAATTAAATAACCAACAACATCAACAAGAAGTACGACAAAGAAAGAAAGAAAGAAAAGAAAAGAAAGGTTTTATGTACGTGTGTGACAAACATAGACTAATTTGGCTTTTCACTGTTTTCTTTTTTCGAATATATATATATATAATTATATACATTAAAAGAATAGAGGTCGAACATACGAGTAGGAATAGCTTTGTTGTCAAATCAAACCACCGACTATAAAAAAAAAAAAACGAAAGGCCAGAATGACTAGAAAATGAGATAAAGAGATAGACGTAGAAAAAGAAAAAATATATGCGAAATTTCATAATTTCTTATTCTTATTCTTATTATTGTTGTTGTTGTTGTTGTGAATGTTGAGCGATATTGGATGATATTGTTGTTCCAGTGGTATGTTGTGTAGTATTCCCAGATCCATTACCATTTGGCATTAATAATCGTCCGATCTTTTTCGATGAATGAAGAGTTAATGTTGATTTATTTAAAGCATCATTTAATGCCATACGCCATTCATGAAATGAGACGATATCCTATAAATGTTCGGATATTTTTCTTTCTTTTCGAGATCTCACAGGTTTTTAGAAGAGGAAACAAGTGAAAAAAATCAAAACCAAAAAGTTGAAAGGAAGAGAAAAAAAATTTGAATGACAACAAAAGCAGCAACAGCAATAGTTCAGCGATGAAACGACTAAAAACAAATCGAAATAGAGAAAAAACAAAAAGAATACAACAAATTATTGTTTTCCAAAACACAGAAAGAAAAAAAAGTTTTTTTTTTCTTTTTTAAGTAAAATTTATTTTACGTTAAAGTTTATATTTGCTAATCTTGAAGAGCAGCTGCAGCAACATTGCTTTTCTTTATTGCACTAAGATTCCCACCAGATGATGATGAATTATGATAATTGCCGGAAGATGATTGTTGATTTGAATTAATACTTGTAGACGTTGTACTACTTACATCAGCTCCATAAATTTTTGATGCTTTTTCGCTAACAGTTAAATGTTGTTGTGATGCAACAAGCGTATCATATAATGCTTTTTTCCATTCAATCCATGATACTTCATCCTATGGGAGATTTATACAATTTTTCCAAGAAAGTCAAAAGAAAAAAAAAACAAGAAATACTCAACAATTTCTCTACTCATGCTAATATACACACGAAATTCAATACATTGACAGATAACGAAAGCAAACGAACACATGCATATTGATACACAGATAAATTCTGTGTTCTTTTTTTTTTTCGAGACACAAGAAAAAAAAACAAATAAACATCAATGTGTAAATAAGACGAATACGTTTACGTGAATAGAAATATATTTATTTCGAAATATAAAAAAAAATCTTACCTGTGGTGAAAGCATTAAACGCGGTTCATTGCCACCTTTTAAATGTATTGTTATCGTTTTTTGTCCTTTACATTCTTTTGAATCAATATGTTCAATTCTTTCCATAGTGTAAACCTAGTTTTATTAAAACAAACAAAAAAAAAGTTTTATTGATATACTTCAAAATGTGATCTGTAACTTAAAAAAGTGTATTTTGTTCGAAATAAGTTTGTGTAAATAACATGACCTTCTAGGACGATTACCTAATTATTATCATTCATCCGAAAAGAAAAATATTGATCTTTAACACACACACATAAGACAAATATAGAAACATTCGTTGAATTTGTTTTTTAAAAGATAATCTTTTTTTTTCTTTGTTAGGACAAGCGCAATCTTTAAATTATTCAATTTGTATTTATTCGTTATATAAAGTGTTTTTTTTCTTTATTCATATAAGATTAACTTCAAAGGATATATCAATAAATGCTTATTTCCGTTGATCAAACGTGCTATTCATCTCATATATAGATTATCGTTTAAACGTGCTTTAACATAATTTAGTGTATAACTTATTTGAGTCACATTTTTAAATATTTAAGTGTAACTTTTGTAAATTGATGAAATTATTTGTTTCATCAACGAGGATTTCATCATTAATATATTTGTCTATTGATGAATTACTAAATATTATTTTTATTCTATATTTATAATTCAAGACGATATTAAGTGTATTATGTTACAAGAGTTATTGAAAAATAAAGCGAAAGACGGACCCCTTGATTCTTATTTCCATCTTTTAGATATCTTTAGATTTTGATAAAAAAGATTAAGACATTTTCTTTTAGATCTTATTTCATAAAACAATAAAATAACATAATCTTAATGTCTTTAGTGAAACATAATTTAAGTTGTCTATCGAATAGAATTTGAGTGTTTTTGTAAATCAAAAAAAAAAAAGATTAAGTATTAATGAAAAATAAATTTGTGATTCAAAGATAAATATTACCTCTGGATCTTTATCACCCTTTTCATAATGTAATTCAAGTCGATTTGGATACAATTTAGTATAACGTATTTGCCATGAAAATCCAAATGTTCCTGTATTTTTTTTTAATTGTCCTTGTAAAATTAGATCAGATGTTTTTTCATCATCATAAATATTATTTTGTTTAAATTTTGCACGTCTTTTTTGTTCAATTTTATCTGTTTCTTGATTAACTGTATCAAATACGGATTCTTTAAAAAAAAAAAAAAATAATTTTTTTTTTTTCATATTTAAAATAAAATATCAATTTGATTGTGTACCAGTGATTTCTTGTTGCCATCGTTCAGAAATAACAATTGGAAAATTTTTATACAATTCTTGATCAGCTTCTGTTAACTAATTAAATGAATATATAATGTTAATTATTTTCTTTTTAACAAAGTTTATTCTTACTTTAATTCCTTTTGTATCATCTTCATCGAAATTTCCAATATCAAAAGCATCAGCTGCATTAACTTCACCACGTGGTGGAATTAATGGTGGAGTTAATTTTAATAAATACACTTGTTTCCAATCAACATCTTTAAAAAATGGATGTTCTTTTACTTCTTCAGCTCTATTATAAATAAATAGAAAACAAAAATATTATCAAAAGAAAAATCAAATAATAAAAAGAAAAAGAAAAAGAAAAAGAAAAAGAAAAAGACTTACAATCTGCCCATACTACCAAGTCGTTTATCAACATCACGTTGAAGTAATCCTTCTAATAGTGTACGCATTTCATTTGACATTGTTTCAGGTAATTCAATTGTCTAAATTCAAATAGAAATTTAAAAAAAAATCTTTTCTTTTGCTTTGTTGTTTTTGTATACCATTGACATGGTCATTTTATCAATTTCATGTTTGTCTTTGGTTTTATGTTGTCGAAATGGACTATGTCCTTTTAATAATTTATACATCATACAACCAAATGAAAACCAATCAGCACTTGAATCATAAGCAACACCTTTAGCTAATACTTCTGGTGCCATATAACCATGTGTACCAACACTTGCATGTGGTTTTTTCTTTGAAAAATCACAAGCTAAACCCAAATCTGATATACGTACATGACCATGTTCATCAAGTAAAATATTTGCAGGCTATTTTATTTAAATAAAACAACAATATAGAAAAAAAAAAAATTTTAAATCTTACTTTAAGATCACGATAAACAACTGATCTAAGATGCATATGTTCTAATCCTAGAATAATTTCAGCTGCATAAAATTTCACTTCTTTTTCAGAAAAAACACCATGTTGAGATAAATGATAATGAAGATCACCACCTTAATTTAAAAAATAAAACAAAAATAATTAATTTCTGAAAAAATAATTTTGTTTTCAAAGAAAAATTTTACCATTCATTAAGTCAAGAATAAAACAAAGTTTATCCGTTGTGTGAAATGCATATGTCATACAGACAATAAATGGACAACCTTCCTCCTTAACAACGAAAGAAGCCATAAAATAAAAAAAAACTACATAAAGAAAGATAATAATCAACATACGCCAATGCTGACAAGTGAAAGCATAATACGTTCATTCAATGCTAACGTTTCACCTTGTTTCATTTTAATACGTTTTTTATCGAGGCATTTCATTGCATACCTTTCAAAAGAAATTATTTTATATATTTTAAATTAAAATAATAGTTTTATTTACATTTTTCCTGTGTCGGCTTTTCTACATCCATAAACTTCACCAAAACCACCACGACCAATTATTCTGTGTACACTAAAATCGTTCATTGTCAACTGAAAATAACAAGAATTCGTTTGAACTATTGAAATATGATAGAATGATATAAAACCTGAATATTAAGTTCAAAATTTTTCCATTGACAAAATCTGGTATATTTTTCTGATTCAATAAATTTGTCAAATATTCTTCCACGTAATAGATCACATATTTCTTTTTTATATGGTTCAAATAGATTAGATGGTAAAGAATTTTTTGGATT